CACCGCCCACCGTCCAGTGCCGTTTCCACCCCGCCCCCCTCCGCCCCAACCATTTTATTTCGGCGTCGCACCGCCCCCACTGGCCAGCCCCCACATGACACCGCCCCCCGTCCCGCCCCCCCACCCACCCACACCAACCACCACCACCACCAACCACCATCAGCGTGACCCCCTCCGCCCTGACCACTTTATTTCGGCGCCGCGCCGCCCTCCGTCCAGTGCCGTTTCTGCCCCGCCCCCCTCCGCCCCGACCACCTCATTTCGGCGTCGCACCGCCCCCACCGTCCCGCCCCCACGCCCCTTCCCCCCCAGCGTTCCCCAGCAGCCCTGTGCCCTCTCCACCCCTTCCCCCTCCCCCCCGACCACTTCATGTCAGCGCCGCACCGCACCCGCCGCCCCCCTCCTCCTCTGCCCACCCTTCCCCCCAGCGTGCCCCCCTCCGCCCCGACCGCTTTACTGCGGCGTCGCCCCGCCCCCACCGCCCCGCCCACCCCGGCTCGCCCCCCCTCCCCCCCCACACACACCGACCCACACCCACCACCAGCAGCGGGACCCCTCTGCTCCTCTGCCCACCTTTCCCCCAAGCGTGCCCCCCTCTGCCCTGGCCGCTTTTTGGGGGGCGTCGCACCACCCCCACCGTCATGGTGGCCATGACCCCAAAGAATATACCCGACAGATGTTGTACGCAAAGGGACTGCCATAGACAAGCGTTCCCAGCACAACGCCGTAACATGTGGCAAGTTGCACCGCGAGCATCCAGTGGCCAGGTCTGCTAGGGCCCTACTTGGAGGCTTCTGAGGAGCCTCGTCAATGCCTTTATAGGGCTCCCGGGACCTCTTGGGACTTTATGTGGGCTTATTGGGTGTCTGTTCGAGGCCTCTGGGTGGCATGTTAAATGTCTTCGAGGTCATCTCGTGGTGGACGGCCCGTAAAGCCTCCTCGAGCTCGCCCTCTGACGCCCTTCTTGCGGCCCTCTGTGGGCACTCCTTATCCGATTTCTCGTCCCCTCTATCCCCTCCTCCTCTTCATCAGCCTTCTCCTCCTCCTCCTCCTCCACCTCCTCCTCCTCCTCCTCCTCCCCGTTCCTCCTCCTCCTCTCTTCCTCCTCCTCCTCCTCCTCCAGCTCCTCCTCCTCCTCCTCCTCCCTCCTCCTCCTCCTTCCTCCTCCTCCTCCTCCTCTCCTCCTCCTCCTCCTCTCCTCCTCCTCCTCCTCCTCCTCCTCCTCCTCCTCCTCCTCCTCCTCCTCCTCCTCCTCCTCCTCCTCCTCCTCCTTTTTCTCCTTCCCCTTTCCTTCTTGTGCAGGAGACATGGCATGCGTGCCACTTGTTCCCCAGGAGGAAGGCCCCCCCCAGCATTTTCCAGCCCGCCCAACAATGGAGGGGAAGTAATGCTCGCCGCGACGAGGTGGTTTTAGGACCAATCTTATTCACCAGCGAGAGAAAGGGGGGGCTCAAAACTAAAAACCCTTCTCGGTTAAGTAAGGTTCAAGCGGAACCGCCGCGGGACCACTGAGAGCACGGCCATGCGCAGTGCGTTTCACCATGGATCGTCGCCTCCAGAGTCATATGTAGCGGGGGCGAGAGCACCGTTCCTGAATGCATTGCGAGGAGTTCTCAAAGCGAAGTCGCCGCCGCACCGCGCCGACCCGGGCGGTCTCTGACTCCCCGCCCCCCTTGCGGGATTGTTATGTTGCTTGTTGTTGTGGAAGTCGATTCGTGGAGAGGAAGCATGCTGCCAAATGATTTCCAGATGTCGAGAATGCTTCAAACATGCTTTAAACATATGAAAACATGTTTGAGACATTGCTAGGACATGTTTCGTACAGCTTAAGCACACCTGTAACTCAATGCTAGGATTGATCGAGTGCCCATGGTCATGGCATCCACAAGGTTGTTGTCCACGCACATCAGACACCTCTTAGCGAAACGCCATTTGGGAATAAGCAGCACGTGCACCCAAACAGAAGTTCTCGGGAGGCCCGCGCGAATGTATGGGGACGGCGATGGGCCTGGCCCCCCGCGCAGCCTCCCGGCCCACCGCGCTCCGCGCGCCAGGGCGGGCGGGGAGCGCAGCCCCTCGGCCCGAGAAAGCCGCGCGGACGTGCGGAGGTGTGTACGTCGATGCAGTCGTTCCTTCCCGTAGGCGATCACCCAGTGCATCGAGAAGACCCGCGAGCGGCTTCCCCGCTACATGTGGCCAGAGCTGGTGCACGTGGCGCAGTGGCCACGCGGCCGGACAGGCAAGGTGGACCGCAAGGCTCTGCCCCTCCCGAGCGTGAACCTCCAGGACATAGCTGCTCGCGCATTGGGGGGCGGCGCGAGGGGGGGGCGGCCTTTCAAGAAGCTCAGATGGCTTTCAAAAGACGAGTAGCAGGTTGACTACAGAAACGATGTACCCCTTAAATTCATCTACTCCAAAGCTTATTTTTCCGCCGAGCCTACGACATAATATTTCGAATAGTCGTAGATCTTCGAGTATTCTACATATACTTCGTGGATTCGACGAACAAATCCATTCGGAGGTACATCAATTATGTAGTCGATCTCCCATTCGAGAGAAGGCAGAGGGGGCTTCTCAGAAGCTCTCCCAGCTTCTAACAAGACTTCCCGGCAGCGCCCCGAGACGCACACGGCACTCTCAGAAGGCCGCCCCTCTCGGGGCCAAGCCCCCCTCGTGCGCGCGCGCCGAAGGACACGGCCGCTCCGCGCACGGCCCTGGAGGCGAGCCTGCACAGGTTGTTCTGCCAGGCTCGGCGATTACAGAGCGTGCGATTACGCCAGGGCGTGGTCTGCGATCTGCGCGGCTGGGGCCCGGGGGGCACGAGCCTGTCCTCCTCGGGCCTCCTCGGGGCGCGGCGGAGAACTCGCTCGAGGTCCCCGCCTGCCCTTCGGGCTGCCCCCCCAGGGTGCCGGTTGCAAACCACAACCTCTGCAGACCACAGCCCTCGAAGTCGCCAGCAGGTGCTGCAGCGGGATCCGAGCGTCACCGGCGCCAACGCCGACTTCTTCACGCTCGGCGGGACCTCGCTGAAGGCGGCGTCGCTCCTGTCGATGATCCGCGCGAGCATACAGGGGGCCTCATGCGAGACCCTGCCCCTACCCCCCCCGATTTCTGAGGGGGAGGGTGGGGTTCGCTTCGCTCGGGAGGTCCCGAACGAAGTGAACCCCACCCTCCACCTCGGAAATCGTGGGGGGTTAGGGGCAGGGTCTCGCATGAGGCCCCCTAGCATCCCGAGCGCGGCGGGCCTCCAGTTCAACGAGCTCTACGCGCACCCCTCGCCCGCCGGCCTGGCGACCGTGCTGGCCGGGAGCCGCGGGGCGATGCCGCTGGGCCCCGCGCCCGCGGAGGGGCTGCTGCCCGCCTCCCTCGGGCAGGAGCACATGCTGGTCCCCCTCGAGCCTCCTCCTCCTCCTCGATCCTCGATCCTCGATCCTCCTCGATCCTCGATCCTCCTCCTCGATCCTCCTCCTCCTCCTCCTCCTCCTCCTCCTCCTCCTCCTCCTCCTCCTCCTCGATCCTCGATCCTCCTCAATTCCCCCTCCTCCTCCCCGATCGACGATCAAGGAGGATCGGGGATCGAGGAGGAGGAGGATCGAGTAGGAGATCGACTGCAGAGTTGATCTATCCCAGATTGAGGTTGTCGTCGATCTCATACGAACCTTTTTACGTTTTTGGTACACTCGACTGAAGAGTCAATTCGGGGGCAAATCAGTTACGTAGTCGATCTCCTGCTCGAAGTATACTGTAACCGATTCCTATCCCCATCTCCATCCCCATCCCACCATCCCACCACCCCAGTCGGGGATATGGCCTTCAAAACTCGAAGGTAGCGGCACGTCTCCCCGTATAGGGGGTTCGTCGGCCACTGGGGCCCAGGCCACGCCCGTGGGGATAGGGATCGGTCAAACGGTGATCAGGTCCTTAGCGAGCTGCAGCCGGGCAAACCCACCTACAACTCCCCGCTGCTGCTCCGCTTCGACGGGGCACTCGACGCCAAGGTTCGAGGAAGACAGGTAGGCACGAAAGTCAGAGGTCGCCCCGCAGTGGCGCGAAGATGATCGCGCGTCGCGGCTCGCGGCCTGGGTCCAGCTGTTGCCGTTCTAAGAGGCGGCCTCGCGAGGGCGCGAAGAAAACGGCGCATCGCGGGGGAGCGACGCGCGCAGGCTGGTCGCCTGAGGAAAAAACAACAACATCTCGGAGGTCCGAAAGCTTGTGTTCACGGCTATGTTTCTCTTTATCCTCTTCTGATTATCGCCACGCTTATGAGTATTCCTGACGATCCGTAATTAGTCTTATTATTCTTACTATTACGATGATGATCGTGATTATGATTCTTCTTCTGCAGGCCCTGCACGCGGCGGTGAAGCGCGCGGTGGAGAGGCACGACGTGCTGCGCAGCAACCTGCTCCGGGACGTGGTCGACGGCGAGACCTGCGCGGTGCAGGTGACGACGCCCGCGGCGGAGTTCCGCCTGGAGTTCGCCCACTGGTCCGGCTCGGGGCAGCCCCTGCGCGGGACCACCTCCCCGCCGCGCGGGCCTCTCTTCCGCAGGCTGAGCTGGATGGCCCGGCCGGGGGGGTCCCACGAGGCCTCCCCGCGAGCGCGCGGGCGAGGCCTCTCCGACATGTCCTCGGGCGGCCTCTCCGGGTACGCCTCGCCGGCGCGGTCGCAGTCGAGCCCGATCTTCGAGCGGCGGATGTCGTCGCTCAACGCCAGCGACGAGCGGCCGGCGGAGTTCATCATGGACGGCCTCTCGAGCGACGGCGGCAGTGCGGTCGGGATCGGCCCAGCGGAGGACTCCACGGTACCTGCTCCTCCTCCCCCCCTCCTGTCCCTTCCCTATCCTCCTCTCTCCTCCTACAGTCGAGTTTGATCATTAGGTCGACCCTTGTGTCCTGCGTTTCACATTTCACGTCCTCTGCTGTCCTGTCTCGTGTCCTTCCCAATTAAACTCGACTCTACTCCTTGAGGCCTTCTACTGCTCGTTCTCTTCGTCTCTCCGGTACCCTTTGGGCTGAACGAGCAGCTGTTCCAGGAGGCCCAGAGGCCCTTCGACCTCCGGGACGATCCGCTGATCCGCGTCGTCTTGGCCAAGGCCTCCAGCAGCCTGCACTTCATGCTGATCACCGCACATCACTCTGTGATCGACGGTCGCTCGCTCGCAATACTCGCCCAGGAGATATCCATGGTCTACACTGGCCTGGTTCTGAAGCACGAGGTCCAGCTGCCGCCGCTGGCGCTCCAGTACGCGGACTTCTCCTACTGGCAGCGGCAGTGGATGGCACAGGGCCGGATGGACGAGCAGCTGAAGTACTGGCGGCGCCAGCTCGAAGGACTCCAGGTGCTCGGGCGACGACACCTGTGCACACCCGCCGCCCGTGGCCGGGCCCATTCCCGGGCGCAGGCCCGGTCACGATGTGTCCCCCTGGCCAAGCCAGGAGTGCGCATGCGCCGCTCCTGGGCCCAGCATGGGCCTGGCCCCGGGGCAGTGGGTGTGCACGGACTCCGTCCTTGGATGCTGCTGCAAGCGCCGGGGGGGGGCATCTCTTCTCCGCTGTCGAGATCGACGTCTTGCGTGCCTCCGCGAGGTCCCTTTCTGCTCCGCTCTGGGATCCTCGCGCTCGCGCCGCTTTTTCGGTCTGGCTCCGCGCCGTGTTGCAGTGTTGCTCGCGATGATATGCTGGGCTGCCGCTTTTTGCTGTCCGCTCTGGCTGGCCGGACGCCAAAAGGCTGAACATTGAAAAGTAGAAGACTCGGGGGGGGAAAAAACACACAGACACAATTCATCGCCGATTCCCAGGAAAAGATGCGAACATATGGGAAGTGGGGGGGAAGACAAAAACCCAGAAAACATGGGAAAATATGGAGCATTTTTTTATTTGTGTGTATTTATCTGTGTGTCCCAGGGCCCCTTCAATGTCGTCGCCCCACAGGTGCTGCAGCTGCCGGGCGACTGGCCGCGGCCCGCGCGGCTGCCCCCCGACGGCGCGCAGGTGCGCTTCCAGCTGCCCGCCGAGGTGGCCGCTGGCGCGCGCGCCCTCGCGCGCGCGCGGGGCTCGACGCTCTTCGGCGTGCTGCTCGCCGCCTTCGGAGTGGTCCTCGGGCGCTGGGGGAACTCGCCCGACGTCGCCGTCGCGTCCGTGGTCGCCAATCGAGACGCGCCCGAGGTCGAGCGGCTGGTGGGCTACTTCGTGAACACGGTCGTCTTCCGGATGCAGCTGCAGGGCTCCTTCGAGCAGCTGCTGGCGCAGCTGCGGGACAAGGCCGCCGGCGCCTTCGCGAACGCCTCCGCGCCGTACGTGTCCGTGTTGGATTCCGCGGGGATCGACCCAGCGGCCGTGCCGGCGATGTTCGTGCTGCAGGACGCAGCGGATAACAAGTGGTCGATGCCTGGGGTGTCAGTGGCCGAGGTCGAACTGCCGCGCACCGCTGCGCTCTTCGACATCACCCTGGAGATGCGGGAGGACAGGGACGGAGGGGGGTCGCTGAGCGGCTTCGTGGTGTACAACACGAGCCTCTGGACGGAGGGCCGTGCGAAGCGCTTCGTGGACAGTCTGCAGGCGGTGCTGGCCGCCGCCGCGGCCGAGCCAACGGCCGCTCTCGGCGCCCTGCCCGCGATCCAGGAGGCCGACTCGGCGCAGATCCTCACGTGGGGCGGGCACAACGAGAAGGCCGAGCGCTCGCTCGGACCCGTGGAGGCGCTCGGCCGCCGACTGCTGATGCACGCAGGCCGGGATGCGATCCTGCACGGCGCCATCGCTGTTACTTTCGAGGAGTTCGGCTTGCGAGTCGCAGCCCTCGCGTCTGAGGTCAAGCGGCGTCTCGGTGATGCAGCAGCCGAGGGAGAGGAGGCAGTGGTCGCGGTGCTACTGCCGCGGTCGGTGGAGATGGCCGTTGCCGTGTGGGCGGTACTGGGCGCTGGCGCGGCTTACGTTCCGGTGGACCCAGAGTACCCAGCGGAGAGGATTGCACACATCTTCGAGAACGCCGCGCCCAGGCTGCTGCTGTGCTGGAAGGACGCGGTGGTGGAGGAGGAGGAGGACGAGGAGGAGGACGAGGACGAGGACGAGGACGAGGACGAGGACGACGAGGACGAGGACGAGGACGACGAGGACGAGGACGAGGACGAGGCGGAGGAGGCAGAGCAGGAGGACGGGACCAGGGCGAGACCGGGGGGGATGGGGCCAGGGGCGAGAGGGGGAGGAGGGGCAGGACGCTGCGACCAGCGCGCCGCTGGGATCCGAGGCCTTCTGCGTCGAGGAGTGGCCGGCACGAGACCCCAGGCCCCTCAAGGAGGCTGCTGCGTCGCTGGAGAGGCCGGCGCCGGAGCGGCTGGCGTACGTCATCTACACCTCGGGCTCTACGGGGCGGCCGAAGGGCGTGGCGGTGGAGCACAAGGCGGTGGCCAACATGGTCAAGGAGCAGATCCGCCTGATGGGCATCGCCCCGGAGGACAGGGTGCTGCAGTTCTTCAAGCCCGCTTTCGACGGCGCGGTGCAGGAGTACCTCAGCACCCCCTGCGCTGGCGCGGCGCTGGTGCTGTGGGACGCGGACCAGAGCTTTGCCGACGTGCTCCTGGAGAAGCGTGTGAGCGTGGCGACCCTGACGCCCAGCGCGCTGGCCGTGCTCGACCCGCACCGGCTGCCGCACCTGAAGAGCCTGGCGGTGGCGGCGGAAGCGGCGCCGCCGTCTCTGGTGGACGCGTGGGCGCAGGAGGGCCGCAGGCTGGTCAATGCCTACGGGCCGAGCGAGAGCTGCGTCGTGGTCACGTGCGCGGAGCTGCACCACGGCATGAAGCAGGCGCCGCCATGACAAGCAGACGGGTCCTGAGGTTTGTCGCCGCTGTGGGCCTCCCTGGGCCCTCCACGGGGCCCAGGGGTTGTCTGAAGCGGCCCAGGGCGAAGGATTGGCCCTGGAGGGAAAGCCCCGGGGCTCCAGGCCCCGTGCCCCCCAGGACAAGTCTGCCCCGTGCCAGAGGTGCCCATCGGCCGCCCGCTCCAGGGCTGCCAGTGCTACGTGCTCGAGCCCAGTGAGCGCCGGTCGTCGGCGGGCTCCAGCCGTGCGCCCACACGTGGCGGCGCGCAGAGGGGGGGCTATGGGCGAGAGGGGGAGGCTTCCCCCCTCCCCCTGCCCCCCTTCTGCGCGCCGCCCACACGCCGACCACGGCCGGGCCCAGGACTGGCCCGACCAGGATCGGCGCGGGCGTGCGGCTGGCGTCCTCCCAGGTCGCTGCAGCCCGTGGGCGTGGGCGGCGAGCTGTGCATCGGGGGCGTGCAGCTGGCCCGCGGGTACTACGGCAGCGCGGCCAAGACGGCGGAGAAGTTCGCGGAGAACCCCGTAGGCGGAGCGAGGATGTACCGCTCGGGCGACATGGCGACGTGGCTGCCCGAGGGACAGCTGCTATACCTCGGCAGGAACGACGACATGGTGAAGGTGCGCGGGTTCCGGGTCGAGCTCACCGAGGTGGAGGCCGCCCTGGCAGCCTGCGGGGCGCAGTTCCAGGCCGCAGCCCTCAATTCCACAAAGGACGGGCTGTGGGCCTGGGCCACGCCCGCATCGCTGGACGCGGCACGGCTACGGGAGGGGGTCCAGAAGATCTTACCACAGTACATGGTGCCCCAGAGGATCTTCGTGCTCGAGGAGCTTCCTCTCAACCCAAACGGCAAGATCGACAAGGTCAAGTTGCTATCCTTGGCCGCAGCCGCCACGACCGTCGAGGACGAGCAGAGCGACGACGGACCCCAGAGCCATCTCGAAGAGCGTCTCTGCACTATCATCTCCAGCGTCCTGGGCGTGGAGCGGGTAGGGGTCACCGCGAATTTGAAGGATTGCGGCATGTCGTCGCTCAAGTCGGTGCTGCTGGTGTCCAAGCTGCGGGACGCAGGCTTCAGCGTGCCGCTGGGGCAGCTCTACGAGCTGACAACGGTGAAGGCTATAGCCGAGTTCGTGGAGGCGGAGCAGGGCGCAGGGGACCTATCCATGCAGGTCGCAGAGTCGAGCTCGCGTCGCACCTGCTGCTCCCGCCGCGGCATCGGCAACTCCAGCGCCGCCACGTTCTGGGGCCTTGTCTGGTTCGCACTACGGCTGGTCGTGTGGATGTGGATCAGCGGCGTCGTGATCTGGCCAGCAGTTCTACCACTGTGGTTCGCGAGCAGCGTGGCGCTTCCCCACCTGGGGCTCGCCTGGGCTCTCCTATGGCTTGTCGTGGCGGCCTACCCGATGTACCTCCTGGGAGTTGCCTCCCTCTGCGTGCTCACCAAGTGGGCCGTTGTCGGCCGCTACAAGACGGCCGCGGTCCCCACCGACTCCTGGGCCTTCCTGCGGTGGTGGGCGGTCGACCGCCTGCTGGCCTACGCCGGCGAGCTGGCGCTGGGGGCGCTGAGGGGCAGCCCGATGTACTTTGCCTACCTCCGGGCCATGGGCCTGCAGGCGCGCGGCTACTGCAGAGTGGACACGCGCTTCGTGTCCGAGTTCGACCTCATCTCCCTGGGCAACGGCTGCGTGATCGCGGAGGGCGCCAAGCTGCGGCCCGGCGTGCTCGAGGCTGGCCTGCTGCGGCTGAAGCCCATGTGCTTCGGCGACCGCTGCGCCATCAGCGAGAACGCGGTGTGCACCTCGGGCGCCACCGCGGGCAGCGACGTGACGCTGCAGCCTCTGTCGTTCCTCTCGGGCCGCACGGGTCGCACGCTGCCCGACGGCTCGGTGTGGAAGGGCTGCCCCCTCGGAGAGTCGCGCCAGCAGCCCATTCGGCAGGAGGAGGGCAGGCTGTGGAAGGATCTGGCGTCGGACCTGCTGGCGCTGCTGACAGCGTTGGCCCTTCTCGTGGCCAGCGCGGGAGTGGCCTATTGCGTCTTCCAGGCGCTTGCAGTCGCGCAGGGCATGCCATGGGACTCCATGAGCGACTTCGAGAAAGCGCAGGGCGCCCTCTTCGCGGCTGCCTGGCTTCTGTTCGGTCCGCCAGTGATGGTTTCCGCAGACGTGCTGATGGGCCTGGATTTGGCCAACGCCGCGGATCGCGCGGCGACAGCGATGGGCGAGCCCAGGTGGCAGTTCGGCCTGCGAGTCGCTGGCATGATCGTGCTCGCCTACGCGGCGCACGGCTGGACCCTCACTTTCTGTTCGGCATTGCTCGGCCGCGTGCTGCGAGGGTCGCGGCGGAAGAGAGGTGCACGGCGCCAGAAATGCATGCGCCTCGCCGCCCCATGATCGTGAACAAACCCCTGGCGGGCAGGGGTGGTGCATAGACCCTTGGCCCCTTGGCTCCCTCGGAGCTCGAAGAGTTGATTCGCCTCTCCTGGCTTCGGATGGGGGGGGGGGTCAGGGGGAGAGGGTTGCGGCGCAGACTTTCCCGCCCCAGGTGCGTTTTTCCAGGCGCGCACGCTCTTCCTTCGCATCACGTTCCCGCGATACCCGGCCCAGCTGAGCGGCACCGCGGCGATGGCCCTCTACCTGCGCCTTCTGGGCGGCAGGGTGAGCCCCACAGCCTGCGTGTCTCTGTCGGAGCCCCCCCTGGAGCCGCGCAAGCTGCGCGTCGGCGCCCGCGCGCTGGTCATCAATGCGCAGGCGCTCGGCGAGGCCTCGGTGGGCGACCGGGCCTTCGTCGGCGGCGGCTCCGTGCTCCTGCCGCACGCCGAGGTCGAGCGGGGAGCGGTGGTCGGCGGCATGTCGGTGGTTGGTCGTCCGGTGAAGACGGGCACGGTGCTGGCGGGCAACCCCGGGGTGATCGTGCGGCGCGCAGAGCTCGCGCGCCCGCCGCCCTGTGGCCTGGTGCCGCGCCTGGTGCAGGAGCTCCTGTGGGTCGTCTACCCTTTGCTGGCCCCCATGCTGCTTCAGCTGGTGCTGCTCGTCACGCTGCTGCCCGCGATGTACGCCCTCACCGTGGTGATGGACACTCTGGAGTCCGACGCCTGGGCCTGGGCTAGGCTGCCGGTCGTGTGCATGGCGCTGGCGCCCGCCTACGTGCTTCTCGGATGGTGCTTGGCTCTGGTGGCCGTGGTCCTGAAGTGGGTGGTGGTCGGCAAGGTGCGCCCACAGTCTGGCTGGCAATGGCACGGCTCCGCCCACCACTACGCCTTCGCCTTCGTGCAGTCGCTGTGCGGCCTCACGACAGGCGTCTACGCAGGCATGGCGCACGGCTCCCCCTTGTACAATTGGTGGCTGCGCTTGCTCGGCTCGCACGTGGCCACCGACGCTGTCGTGATGACGCCGATTATGGACTTCGACGTCGTGTCCATCGGCAGCGGCGCCGTTGTGGAACGGGAGGCCACGGTGTCGGCGACGCGCATGCTGCCCGCCCAGGGTGGGCCATCGGAGTTTTGCACCCGCTACAGCACGGTATCCGTCGGGCCGCGCAGCACGATCTCTTGCTCCGCCGCGATGGTAGCCGCGGACACGGGCGAGCTCAGCGTGCTGGCGCCTTTGTCGACGCTAGGTCCCTCGGCGCGCTTGCCAGCCAGAGCGCTTGCCGTGGGCTCCCCGCCGCAAAAGTTCGTGTGGTCCAAGGAGCGCGACAACCTCATCAGGTCACAGGGGGGCGCAAACTCTGCTCGCACTGATCTTGGCCAGGCCAGCACCAGGCGGCGGATCGATGTTGAGCCCAGACTCAGCTCGGCCAGGATCCGTGCAGGAGGAGGAGGAGGAGCAGGAGGAGGAGGAGGAGGAGGAGGAGGAGGCGGAGGTGAATAGTTTTCATCCTCCCAAGGCCATCCACGCGGCCACTGCCTGGGGAGCTGAAACCCTCTGTGCCGTTGCCGCCCTTCGTGGCCCGCGCTCTGGGCCGCATGAAGGTCCAGAGCAGCACGGCACCGCCAGACGCCCCGGCACCGCTCGTCACGGGCGCAAACGGCTTCTTGGGGCGCTTCATCGTCGCGGCGCTCCTGGAGACGACCGAGTGCCAGGTGCTGTGCCTCGTGCGCGGGGCTGACTCCGAGACCGCGCGGGGGCGCCTGGAGGCCTCGCTGAGAACGGCGGGTGTGACGTCACCCGAGTTGCTGAGACGGGTGGAGGTTGTGAAAGGCGACCTCTCCAAGCGCAGCTTTGGCCTCCCTTTCGCCGAGTTCCAGCGGCTCGCTGGCCGGGCGTCGCACGTTATCAACACCGCCGCCCGCGTTAACCTCGCGGAGCCGTTTCAGCTGATGCGGAAGGACAATGTGGAGGCCGTGGCGCACTTGCTGGAGTTCTGCTGCGTGGTAAGGACAAAGCCCTTGCACCACATCTCAACGATGGGCTTGTTGACGCCAGACATGCTCAACCGCGACGGAACTATCGTAGAGGAGCTGTGAGAGAGAGAGAGAGAGAAAGAAAGAAAGAGATAGAGAGAGAGATGCACATGACATAAGTGTTCGTACGTGACAGAAGGGTACCTTTCTCCTGCTCCTCCTCTTTCCTCCTCCTCCTCCTCCTCCTCCGCCTCCTCCTCCTTCCGTAGCCATTCTGGCTCAAGTGCCATTCCCGCGCGCGCGCAGCCCTGGGACCCGAGCGGCGACTCTCCAGGCGCGGAGGCCATGGAATGTTCATGAAGCTCCTGTTCTGGTCGACGATCCTCTACACTGCAAGCGCGGTGATGCTCACGGCCACTGAAGGTGCTCCATGGACGTCCCCAGCTGCAAGCGCGGCGACTCCCCCATTAGCTTCTACAACTCGTACGACTTCGACTCGTACCCCGAACCGTCTTCGACCCCGCGGACGCCATTCCCTCACTGCACTTGACGCCCGCCGGCGACGAGCTGTGGAAAAGGGACTTTTGCGTCCACGTGCTGGTCCTGAGCTGGCTCGGATCTCTGTTCCAACAGCCGTCTCGCGCGAGGCGAAGGTTTGGGCTTGCGCGACTGACAACGTGCGCAAGCTTCAGCTCAAGACTGGGCTCCACAGGCGCAACGGCTCCGAGCTCTGCACGGTGGCGTCTGCCCGTGGACACTTCACCCCACAGGAGGAGCTAGACTTCAAGTATTGGAATACGGCTGGCAACATCGCTCGCCACAAACGCTGGTCGGCAACGTCGAGGAGTCCTCCATCTCCGCCGCCCGTCAAGCGCGTCGCCTGGGCGGACACCTAGGCTCCCGCTGCCGCCGCTGACACCATCGGCGAAACATGCCTGCGGCCAACAGCTTCGAGCCCTGCGTCGACACCATAGAGCCGGGTACCCGTTCCAGATTGTCTGGGAATTCCTGCAATTGTGGCTCAAACCCAGCGCTCCCCAGCGAGGCGACCCTCGATAGTATCTTCCACACATTCGAGAAGCGGACCCTCGCTAAGCTGGACGAAAAGTTTCTCGCGGGCTTCGGACTTTTGTCGGTCTCCAACGCCAAGCAGCTGCCCACCATGTTCGCTACCTCGGTCAAGCCCGTCATGGATTCCCTCCAGAGTCAGGTCGCCAAAGAGATCATCAACATCCGCTCCGAGCTCGGCGCCGCGTACGATTCGCACATCCTGACCCTCGACATCCGCGAGATTGCAGATGGTGTTCTCGCCGCTGCAGCTGATGCATGGCGTGCGGCAGATGAAGCTCACGGCCGCCTTCATGCCACTCGCCGAGCAGGTGACGAAGCACGCCTAGTGGTAGAACTTGTTCACGCTGCTGCGGCTGACGTTCACCTATCGGTAGCAGAAACTCGTACTCATCCAATTGAGCTGAAGACGCAAGTCACCCAGCTGGGGCTGCGCGTCAACAACCTGTATAAAGAGCTCCTGGACACAGTCGACCAGAGGCTGAAGCTCATCGAACTGGACACCGAAGAGATGCAGCAGCAGATCGACTCCATCGAGCAGCACGTCCAGTCCTTACAAAGCCACGAGCAGTACCCTGTCAACCGCGATGGCTCTCCCCATGTCGACAACTACTTCGACACCCTGCTGACGCACGTCCAGCGCGATGACTGCTGCAACGGCTTCATGAAGATCCTGAACTCGCTGCCCGAGCCGCATTCTAGTGACTGGCACTCTAGCGACTGCCAGCCGCCTGCATCAGGTATCCGAGGCACTGCCGCCACCGATTCGCCCAAGCCGCTGATGCAGTCCGAGACCACCGCGCTGCCCATGCCGTTCAAGACCCTCACCACGCCGCTTCCGACCGCGTCCACCGAGCTGAAGCTCGACGAGGCCGCCGATGCGGAGGCGACACAGTCCGAGACCGACGAGCTGCCCCCCCCGAGCGAGACCTACGAGCTGCAGCAGCAGATCGCGTACGAGCTGGAACCCGACGAAATAGAGTTCAACTCAGAGCTCGAGCACGCCGAGCCGACCAATGAATGTTACGACGCCTCTGGTTTTTGTTGACATCTACTTCGACAACCTTCTCGCGCACATCCAGAAATTCGATTGCTGCGACGACTTCACGAAGGTTCCGGATTCCATCGACCTGTGCATGCCGCATCCCGGGCTGAAGGCGGCGCAGTCTGAATTCGACGAGCTTCTCATGCCGAGCGAGACCAACGAGCTGCAGCAACAGATCGCTTACGAGCTGGCGCACGACGAGCTGGAACTCGACGAGCTGCAGCAGCCGCCCGCGTACGACGAGCTGGACGAGTTTGACGAGCACGCGCTGCAGTCTGAGTTCGGCCAGCTGTTCTCGCCGAGCGAGATCGACGAGCTCAGGCTGCATTTCGAGAGTGACGAGCTCCTGCGCTCCCTCACTTCTTCATTGCGGCCTGCGCCGTCTCTTTCACAATGTACTACATCCATATCAACATTCGCTGAGGGCTAGACGCGCGGCGACTGACAGGAGCGGGATCACTTGCCCTCTTCTCGCGTCTTGACCGCTTGCCCTCGTCTCGTTTTCCTCTGTGTACGCGCACTCCTCCTCCTCCTCCTCCTCCTCCTCCTCCTCCTCCTCCTCCCCTCCTCCTCTCCTCCTCCTCCTCCTCCTCCTCCTCCTCCTCCTCCTCCTCCTCCTCCTCCTCCTCCTGCTCCTCCTCCCCCTCCTCCTCCTCCGCCTTCGTCCTCCTCCTCCTGTTCCTCCTCCTCCTGCTTCTCCTCCTCCTCGTATTATCACGTTTTCCTGTGTCGTTATTAATTTTCGCGTTGAAGATTCGCCCGCAGAGGAGCGGCCGCTGGGCGACATCCGGTCCCTCCCGCTGTACGGCACCGGCGACCAGGCGAACGGCTACTCTCGTCCTCCCCCTACCTTCCCATCCCCCCCCCTCCTCTTCCTCCTCCTTCTCCTCCTCATCATGATCATCCTCAAAGATCCATGCTGCGGATCAGTTCGTCGTAAATGACCGAGACCTTTTATCTCCCTCCCTTCACATCCTCCCTCCTCCTCCTCCTAACCATCATCCGCAGCATCATCCTCATCCTCGTCCTCATCATCATCACCATCATCGTCATCGTCATCGGCATCATCATCGTCATTATCATCATCAGCTTCATAATCAGCAGCATCATCACCAGCATCATCGTCATCATCAGCACCCTCATCATCGTGCTCCTCCCCCTCCTCCTCCTCCTCCTCCTCCTCCTCCTCCTCCTCCTCCTCCTCTTCCTCTTCCTCCTCCTCCTCCTCCTCATCATCATCATCATCATCATCATCATCATCATCAACATCATCATCATCATCCCCCGTTCCCCTGCTCCTCTTTCTCGATCCTGCAGCCGCTTTGTCTCAAGATGCGGGCATCCCGTAGGGCCAGGTGGGCACTTCTGACCCGAGGCCGGATCACGGTCCCTTTACCTCCTCCCGGCAGCCGTGACCTCGGCCTGCGCGTCGCTCACCGTCGGGTGGGCCCCGTCGGCTCGCCCTACCATCCGCTGCGCCGCCCCTCGGGAGGTGGCGAGATCGCGCGGCCTCGCGCGGTGACGGGCGTGGTGGTCGGCGCCCGCCTTCGTGACCGTCGTGGCGCTCGGCCAGGCGTCCCCGCCTCGGCCGCGCGCAGGCGCAGATCTCCCCGACGGCGGCGACGACGACGACGACGACGACGACGACGACGACGACGACGGCGACGACGGCGACGGCGGCGGCGACGCCGACGACGACAACGTCGTCGTCGTCGGTGGAGACGGTGGCCGTCGCTCTGCTGCTCCTCGCAGTGGCCGTGCTGCCCGTAGCCTTGCTGTTGCATCGGCGGCTCACCGTGGTCCTGATCCTGTTTCTGGAGCCTTCGGCCCTGAGACGGCTGCAGCGCTCGAAGCTATGCTGACATCCCCCCTCGCAAGGACGTCCAGCCCAGCGTGCAGGAAGCGAAGACCCGTGGGCTCACGCTGCTGCGCGGTTTCCTCGTGGTGCCGCTTTTCCGGGACTGGCAGACCGTCTCGGTATCCCGCCCGCCCGCAGGCATCCAGCCAGCCAGCGTTCCTGGGGGGCGGCGGGCAGGTCCGCCTGGACTTTGCTGGAGGTGGCGGCGGAGGCACCAACGCGCTGCACACGGAGCTGCTGGACTTTGACTCGCAGCTCCAGGCGACCTTGCAGTCCACCTCGTGTTCCCTCACGGCGGGCCTGGCGGACTTCCGCACGGCGGTCGAGGGCCGTATGAGCGTCGTGGAGACGAAGGTGGCCAACGTGCAGGACGACGTTGCCCCAGTGCGCAGCGAGATGGACCAGTTGCGCCGTGAGTTCGGGGTCGCCCAGTCCACGGAGCGTGCGCCGCTTCTCCCCGAGCCCGCCTGGTCGAGGACGCCTGATCCACACGCCCCGGCCCTGAACGACCGGGCAGCGGTGGCGGAGGAGGCAGCCGAGAGCATGCCTGGCCCATGGCTGGTTGACGCCTGGGTGGCGGCCACGTCCGACACGGTGGACCTGGAGGGCGAGGCTTTGGCGCAGCGTTTCGTGCTCTGCTTCGACGGCGAGACGGGCATCGCGTCAGGGAGGGGCGGCAAAGTCCTTGGGGCCATGCGTGTCAAGCTCTCGGCTTGGCGCCCCCTGCGCCGGCTGGACCTCTGGATGCGAGCACGTCGAGGCGTCTACCAGGCCCGACACGAATCTCTCGCATATCACCCACGAGCTCGCCCTCAAGAAGCTCAAGGTCGCCCTCCTGCCTCACTTGGGGAGCGGCTGCGTCTTCTTGGACAAGGCGGAGGCTGCCCTCAGCAAGAACCGACATCAATTCGTCAAGGTCGCGATCGACGGGCCCGCCTCGGTGCCGCGCGAACTCTGGACGGACCACAAGGTGCAGGCTCTGGGGCTGGACCGTCGGGTTCTTGCCGATGCTGTTCGCGCTGCCTTCACGCTCGTCGATGGAGGGTGGTGCCGTTGACAACTTCGGGAAGCTCTGGGGAGGCCCGCAGGAGGTCTTCATACCCGGCCGCGTGCGGCAAGTTCCGCCCCATCAGTTTGCTTTCCATCGGGCACAAGGTGGTCGCAACGATATTGACCAAACGTCTAGCGCATGCAAGCTAGAAAAGTCGATTCCGTTGCAGAAGAGGCGGACAGTACTTCTGGCTTGGGGTTATGCGAAGGCATTCGATTCAGTTGCGCCAGACGCGCTAGCATTTTCGCTGATGTGGCTGCCGAGAGCAGCTTGCGCTCATGACCTGACAATCGACACGGACCACATGTTTGTCGCTGTTGCGTTCGACCGCTCATCGCCCTTGCAGAGACAGGCCGACAATAGCAACTCACGCTCAAAACGTCGGAGCGCTGGCGCGGCCTTTGCAGACAGTTGCTCGTGGCGAACCACAAATTCTTCCTTCCGTCCCGTCTTGCCCCTTTCGCCTCGTGGTCCCTCTCGTCGGCCCCGGCTGTCTCGTGCGCTGTGCGACCTCCGGCGGCATGCGAGCGTGCTCCTGTGCTGGTGCTCGCGCACTCTTCCACTTCTGCGGTGCCCGCCCTGGTTTGGCTCGACCTTCTGAGGCGCATTGCCCTCTCCCCAAGCCGCGCCGGTCGGGGCGGACGAAAGAGAAGGGGGGGATTTAATTGTCTTCATGTTTGTTTTTATTGATTTTGGGGTGTGTTCAATTTTTATGTTTTGTTTTTTGTTTCCAATTTGTTGTTTCTGTTCTCTGATTGTTCCCGCTCCGCCGGCGGTGCGCAGGCGCCGAGGCACGGCCGCCCCGTGGCGCGGGGCGGCGCCAGAAGAGCCGGGGGGCACGTGCCGTGGACTCGGTGCTCCCCCCGTGCGGTATCCCGCGGAGGCGACGACAGGGGCGGGTAGCCCAGGGGGGAGCAACACAGGTAGCCAGGGGCGCCGACGATCTATGTCTTCGACCAGGCTCCCGGGCGAATGCGTGCAATCCCGCCCCTGCGGGATTCGCCCCTATCGTCGCCGCCGAATCCCTCCCATCACGTCCGGTCCGCCCCGAGCTGGTCTCCTCCACACCACCACCCCTGGCCCCATGTCCCCTTCCTCCCCTCCCCCATCTGCAGCCTCCTCCGCCTCCTCTTCCTCCACGTCCTCCTCTGCCGCCTTCGCCCCCAGATCATCGTCGCCCTCTTCTTCCTCGTCCTCCTCCATTTTGACGTTGTGCGAACTCGAGCCGATGTGCTGTAGCGTTCTGCTGGACGACAAAATACTTGTCGGCTGAGTCATAGCGCGACAAAAAAACACCCTGCGACGTACCCAACCCTTTCTATACTTGCATGTGATGGTTACATTCGGGACCACTCAATGCTGACGGGCATGCTGAAAAACCCGCAGTGCGGAAGAGGAGCACCCATCAGTGAACTCAGAAGAGCGCAGCAAGAAGAGCAGCGGCAACGCGTAATGCGTACCTCTGCTGGGCCTCCCAGGAGCCCACGAAAGTGGCGACAATTGCGCAGATCGCAGCCCCCCAGAACACCGCGAGGTCTCGAGGTGGTCCGCGTGGGACCCACCTCCGCTGGGCCTCCCAGGAGCCCACGAGAGTGGCGACAGTTGCGCAGATCGCAGCACCCCAGGGCGCCGCGGAGTCTCGAGATGGTCCGCGTGGGACGTACCTCCGCTGGGCCTCCCAGGGGCCCACGAAAGTGGCGACAATTGCGCATATCGCAGCCCCCCAGGGCGCCGCGAGGTCTCGAGGTGGTCCGCGTGGGACCCACCTCCATTGGGCCTCCCAGGAGCCCACGAAAGTGGCGACACTTGCGCAGATCGCAGCCCCCCAGGGCGCCGCGAGGTCTCGAGGTGGTCCGCGTGGGACCCACCTCCGCTGGGCCTCCCAGGAGCCCACGAAAGTGGCGACAGTTGCGCAGATCGCAGCCCCCCCAGGGCGCCGCGAGGTCTCGAGGTGGTCCGCGTGGGACGTACCTCCGCTGGGCCTCCCAGGAGCCCACGAAAGTGGCGACAGTTGCGCAGATCGCAGCCCCCCAGGGCACCGCGAGGTCTCGAGGTGGTCCGCGTGGGACGTACCTCCGTTGGGCCTCCCAGGAGCCCACGAAAGTGGCGACACTTGCGCAGATCGCAGCCCCCCCCCAGGGCGCCGCGAGGTCTCGAGGTGGCCCGCGTGGGACCCACCTCCGCTGGGCCTCCCAGGAGCCCACGAAAGTGGCGACAGTTGCGCAGATCGCAGCACCCCAGGGCGCCGCGAGGTCTCGAGGTAGTCCGCGTGGAACGTACCTCCGCTGGACCTCCCAGGAGCCCGCGAAAATGGCGAGAGTTGCGCAGATCGCAGCCCCCAGGGCACCGCGAGGTCTCGAGGTGGTCCGCGTGGGACGTACCTCCGCTGGGCCTCCCAGGAGCCCACGAAAGTGGCGACAGTTGCGCAGATCGCAGCACCCCAGGCACCGCGAGGTCTCGAGGTGGCCCGCGTGGGACCCACCTCCGCTGGGCCTCCCAGGAGCCCACGAAAGTGGCGACAGTTGCGCAGATCGCAGCCCCCAGGGCACCGCGAGGTCTCGAGATGGTCAGCGTGGGACCCACCTCCGCTGGGCCTCCCAGGAGCCCACGAAAGTGGCGACAGTTGCGCAGATCGCAGCCTCCAGGGCGCCGCGAGGTCTCGAGGTGGCCCGCGTGGGACCCACCTCCACTGGGCCTCCCAGGAGCCCACGAAAGTGGCGACAGTTGCGCAGATCGCAGCCCCCAGGGCGCCGCGAGGTCTCGAGGTGGTCCGGTCCGCGTGGGACGTACCTCCGTTGGGCCTCCCAGGAGCCCACGAAAGTGGCGACAGTTGCGCAGATCGCAGCCACCAGAGGCGACCGCGAGGCCTCTCGAAAGTGGGTGCGGTCCGCGTGGGACCCACCTCCGCTGGGCCTCCCAGGAGCCCACGAAAGTGGCGACAGTTGCGCAGATCGCAGCCCCCAGGGCACCGCGAGGTCTCGAGGTGGTCCGCGTGGGACCCACCTCCGCTGGGCCTCCCAGGAGCCCACGAAAGTGGCGACAGTTGCGCAATCGCAGCCCCCAGGGCACCGCGAGGTCTCGAGGTGGTCCGCGTGGGACCCACCTCCGCTGGGGGCCTCCCAGGAGCCCACGAAAGGGAGACAGTTGCGCAAATCGCAGCCCCCAGGGCACCGCGAGGTCTCGAGGTGGTCCGCGTGGGACCCACCTCCGCTGGGCCTCCCAGGAGCCCACGAAAGTGGCGACAGTTGCGCATATCGCAGCCCCCAGGGCACCGCGAGGTCTCGAGGTGGCCCGCGTGGGACGTACCTCCGTTGGGCCTCCCAGGAGCCCACGAAAGTGGCGACAGTTGCGCAGATCGCAGCCCCCAGGGCACCGCGAGGTCTCGAGGTGGTCCGCGTGGGACGTACCTCCGCTGGGCCTCCCAGGAGCCCACGAAAGTGGTGACAGTTGCGCAGATCGCAGCCCCCAGGGCACAGCGAGGTCTCGAGGTGGTCCGCGTGGGACCCACCTCCGCTGGGCCTCCCAGGAGCCCACGAAAGTGGCGACATTTGCGCAGATCGCAGCCCCCAGGGCACCGGGAGGTCTCGAGGTGGTCCGCGTGGGACGTACCTCCGTTGGGCCTCCCAGGAGCCCACGAAAGTGGCGACAGTTGCGCAGATCGCAGCACCCAGGGCACCGCGAGGTCTCGAGGTGGTCCGCGTGGGACGTACCTCCGCTGGGCCTCCCAGGAGCCCACGAAAGTGGCGACAGTTGCGCAGATCGCAGCCCCCAGGCACGAGAGAAGAGGAGAGAGGAACAGGGGAAACAGGCGAGGAGG